GATGCTCCGGGATGGAAGAAGTGCTTTTTTGCTTGTCTTGTCCAGCTTTAGTCGGGGGAGTGCAAATTCGCCTTCTCAGAGCCAGAGGAAAAAAGTCCAAAGTCCCCCGGTCTGTTTCAGTGCTTGCTTCACCGCCTTCCCAATGTGCGCTCCGCTTCTATCAGCCTGATGATACTCATGGAGTCATGGTAATATTGAATGAGCCTCACAGATGCTTTAGGCTACACTATGAGTGTCAGTATGGGTTTCATATAGGAGCTATCATCTTACCTTGATATGATCTTATTCACTCATTGGCAATTCAGCGTTGTGTTCACAGCGGAAGGTCTGTCATTGAAGATCAAACAAAGCGGATGAGATGGAATAATTACAGTGCCATTCAAAAATATGTAGTACTTTGTGTTCTATTCACAGTCTCAAAGATAGGCGCACTCATCAACCATTGGCACGGATATACAAGGAGAGAAGCGAAAAAGTTGGGAGCAAAAAAAAGCAGAAAACGACGAATCAGCAGGAGGCCTAACAACGAATCAAGAATCGCAAACACCACAGACAACGCGTTAAACAACTGACTCGAAAAGAAGGGGGTATGATGGACATGATATGGTCAAAGAACAGGTATCACACTCGTTTACAGATTCCGTCATGAAGAAGGTGACAGACGGCCCAAGCGTACAGCGCAGGCATATCGAAAGCAAGCTTTGGATACAAAAGGTCTGAGAGAGAGAGAGAGAGAGAGAGAGAGAGAGAGAGAGAGAGAAGGTAAAAAGGACAAGAAAGTCTGGGATCTCGCATAAAGAGCTCAGGCTGCTGTGGTCTCGGAAGCAGCGACCTTCTCGTCCAGAATAGGCTTCCGCATGACGGCATCTTGGCCAGTCATTCTTCGTCCCAGCGCGCGCTCAACCTTTGCACCAAGGGCCAGCTTGCTAAGGTTGTCGCTTTTCTCTGGTGTAGGGACGAAGCGTTGCTTCAGAAGGGGTTTGTTCTCTAGACGCTCGAGGCCGTCGCGCAGGTGGTTGAACTCGGCCAGTCTGGGATCACCACTAGGCAGGCTTCCGATAGTCTGTTCCGATGGTGCAAGCGACGGGCTACCGCTCACGGTCGAAAATCTCTTGGACGTACGATTCTGCGCCGGTTTAGATGATTGTATCGAGGTAATAAAACACGCAGACGTGAAAAAAAGCGTAATTGAACTTACTGATTTGCCCATGATAGGTCGCTCCGAGTCCAATGAGGTATGTCTGGCCATCTTGATGGTATAGTTCTCGGTGGGTTGAGTTGTGGGTTGTTTGATTCAGGCAGTAGGGTGCTAGCTAGCGTATTGCGCTTCGCGCTCGGAAGAGCGACAGTTGAAGATTTAGCAAGGTCGCGCTATTTGCTTTGAATGCGGAGAGAGTCAGTCAATGTAAACTGTAAACAGACGAAATGACTTGTGGGGGTAAGAGAGATGTAAAAGGAAATAAAAATAACCGATTATCATTATTGACAGCAAAAACTCATAAAGGCACGACGAGACTTTGGTACGGAGGGTTGATTTGACGGAACCAGAGTGGTAAGGATCCCATACCTAATAATCTAAGAAGTCAGGTATCCGCGGCTGCTCGGTGAGAACAGAGCTGAACGCGGCGGAAATCCTTGATAGAGCGACGATAATCTTGGGGAGTCTGTATGAGGATATGATACTCTGGCTGTTATTATTATTGAACCAAGGGAGCAGAAAAAATGGCGATGAGAAAGCTAGATAGACATGCAGGTCAAAAGGACTCAGAACTCAGGAGAGAGCCGGGGATGAGGAAAGCGGATGGGCCGAGTGGGTCAAAGGGGGGGCGCAGAGAGAAAGTCAGAGTGAAACTACTACTAGACTACTTCCGTAGGAGTAAGATACGTATATCTACCCAGGTCGACCTTAGCTTTCTACATATGATGATCCAGAATCCAGATGCAGATCAATGTGCTGCAATCCTTCTCAGAGGAAACTCAAATATTGAACCACTTTGAAATGGAGGCATCAGCATCAAGCTTGAGGTCAAGGGCCATCCCTGATAGAAGACTTCGGATTCTGCGCTTTACAATAGAATCAGCCCATACGCCGCAGGCTACAGATTCCAAGAGATTGTATCTGATGTTTTGCATTCCTTTTTCTAGTGTTGAATTGCAAGACGCTATCACCTGTTTCAAGTCTCATATCCTAGCGGAATCTGATCTCATCTATAGGAGATTGTCTGCCTGAAAAGGCACCAGACTCAGTGCATGGCTCCGGTCATGGCGAAGAAAGGATACTCCAACATGGTCTGATGATAGTGCTCTAGCCGTTGTATAATTATCCAGGGGTGAGGCCTTTAATATTCCTTACCTTGGGTACTTTCACTCCATGGTTCCTCGCCACGTGCGACATCCAATCGATATAGTCCGGGACAGCCACGCGAGATGATCCATTAAGGTATCCAGTAATCCAGGGTATTCTTTACTTTACGAAGTGCATGTCGCACCAGAATCTCCCGCATACAGTAGAGCTATTTTGATTGAATGGTAAATAGAGAGGTCCATCATAAGAGGTTGGATCTACCATAGAGAACCACACTACTCCGTACAGCCATGATGATGAAAGACATGTCTCGTTACATTACTTCTTTTCACACCCGAATATCCATCTATCTTAAACCAGAGGATGAGATACTCATATGTAAATATACTCCGTATGGTCTGTACTTGCTACTGTCGATGATGCAAGATTATCGATGGAGGGATATATGAATTCAATAACCCTGCATTGAAATTTGGCCGCCTTACTTCAGTGGACTGGCTATTATTCATCTGCGCCCATGGTTCTATTCACAAGGCCCCCATTTTATGTATCCAGCACAGAGACAAGATGGAGGGACATGCAAATATTATTGTAGAACTGATAAATTGAAAAAGGTTCTGTTATTGTTGAGACATTTGTGTCAAAGTGTCTGCACCCCAAGCGGTATCAAAGGCGGTCCATCAAAATAACAGCAGTACCATTATATCTTTTTACCCCTTCGTTCAAGTGGTCGAAAAATATGAAAAACGTCATGCACATTTGACCCAGCAACCAAGCTCAGGAAAACCTCGCTAATAAATCACCGCTGGTTACTTAACAACGAAAGACAGCTCATTTATTGTCGAAGTTGCTTACATCATTCCTGCATGATCTACCGGAATGCCGAAACCGAAGGCTTTTTTGAAGGAACCTAAATCCAAGAAGAAAGCGGCGCAGCGGGTAGTTATAATCATACCATATGCAGCACAACCATACAACTACTGATATCCAACAGGCGCCAGAGACTGCTGATGAATTTCTAGCTGGTAGGTAATCTCGTGCCCGTCCGCCGAACCGTCTAGTCCATTCATGCTCTCGAATATAACCCTAATTCATCCGATCTTGTCCAGCTGGCGTCGAACAGGAAGAGGGCGGGGAGAAATGGCGTGCTGGCGATGCTGCCAAATCCTTGCGCTTTTTCATGCGGGCAATCGCAATATATGATGAAGGCTTGCAAAAACATCCTCACGCGTTCGACCTGGCCTATAATAAGTATGTTTGAAACGAACAATCCTTCCACTGAGCAGCCACACGCCTCTTCCATAGATATGCCCAACGGGAGAACATATGTTTTGAACTGACAGCTCTTAGAGCACGTCTCCAATATGAAATCACCCAGCACCCTAAATTAGCTGCCCAATTACCAACTCCATTGCTGAATGCCTTGCAGATAGCGTTGCAGTCGCATAGAGAGGCCGTCAATCTGGAACAAGACAACGCGGATGCACTCTTCAACACCGCGCAAGTGCTTACGAGTCTTGCAGAAGCAGCTACCGACACAAAACACCCATCCGACGAACAGCTCTCGGGAGCAATCAAGCTTCTCCAAGAGGCCATTGAACTTTTCCAACGATGTCTCGTATTGCAGGAGATGCGGTACACCGAATTGCAAGAGCAATTGAAGCAGATGGAATCTGGGTATATGGGTCCACCTGAGGAGGAGATGAAGCAGGCTCAAGAGGCTATGGATACTGCAGGCGAATCAGATCCTTCAGAGCCGCAGGAGCAATGGGCGGCAGTCATTGAGCCGGTGACCAAAAACACTCTCGTTGATACGGCTGTGGCGCAACTCGATACCCTTACTACACTCAGCAACCTGCTCACGTTTAATCCTGGAGTGGGACTTGCTTGGGTTGAAGAGTACTCTTCCGATCTCCTGCAGAAGATTCCAGTGTACCTCGAGGGATCAGAAAGACAATATGAGGCGTCCTTGGCTCGAGCCAAGTTTATATGCGCCTTGAACGAGCTAGTCTATCGCAGCGGAAGGATCGAGGTAGAGACATATCACAGAGAAATTATGCGTGCCTTTGGACCGGATTTGGACATTTCTACCGATCCCGACGGTCTTTGCAGTAAAGCCGATGCGCTTACCTCTTTCAACACTGCACTCACTGACCTCCCGCCTTCCCATGACGCCGAAGCTTTTGCGAAATCATTGGACTTAAGATGGCAATCGCTATCAACAGCACTGGACGCATTGACCAAGGCTTCGAAACTCCCTGACGCAGACAACCTGCCGAAAATTCATTTGGCCAGAGGAGACGTAGAGATGCATAGGTGGAGACTCGGATTGGCTCCATGGGAGTACGCCATGGCCCAACAAAATACTTCGACACTGCTTCGAAACGCTCAAACGTACTATCGAGGCGCTGCAGCTCTAGCAAGAAGAGACGGAGCTATGGAGGAAACGAGAGATGGGACATGCAAAGAGGCGATCGCAGCGGCTCTGGACGGCCAGAAGGATAAACTGGAACAGCTCAAGGCCGCCGCGCCTAAAGAGCTGACAGCTGTTGCTCAGGACGTGGTGGAGGACGGTTTGTTGGCTCCCGTGGATATGGAGGCTTTGTTGTCGTAGCCGATCATACGCGCCCATTCATGAATCAAAGAAGTAAATTTTTGTCGCTTGTGCAGGGTGCACAGGCACCCGCAGACCTGTTCATATCTCTGACCTGGCCTTGACTTCTTCATCCATTTTGAATGCCTCCTGGCGAAGGTCATTCTCCTTGCTGAAATGCGTAGCTGCAGCTGCAGCACCTTCTACGTCAGTAACAATAGACTCGAGGCTCGACAGTAGCCTTTCGATCTCCGCTCTTTGGCCTTGTATATGCCGGGCTAGCTCTGCGTTCTGAGCTTCGGTTGCCCGGATTTTCGCGTTCAAAGATGATTGGACTTCTTGCAGGTAAGGTGTTAGATGTGCGCGATATAGTTCGTCCGGGGTCAAGGTATGCGGACTATATCCATTATCAAATGGTTAGCAGACCAGTACCCCAAGCACAACCCTTGAATCAGCAACAAGAGACATACGCTAGACGACTTTCGCCTTGACCATTGTCCCTCCTATGCCTTGCCTCCCCGACCAGCCGATCGAGCTCATTCAGATGCCTCACTGCGTCGCGTTCATGCATGATATCGTCAAACTCCGCCTTCGCGCTCTCCTCGAGCTTCGCGTTCAGTTGTCTCCATACTGACTCCAAACTAGCAGGGACATGTTTCGCAGGTGTCGGAAAGCACCCTGAGAAATTCGCGTACGAGTTTGCGCGTAACGTTCGCGCGAGGGCTTGGCTGAAGACTTGCTGTAGACGCGACGCGCGTGGGCCTGGTGTGAGGGGGACAGGCGCTGGAGGAGGCGGGGAGGGTGAAGCTGCTTGTCGTTGGTGACTAGCCTGGGTAGATTGAGTCTCTTCTGCCATCTTCACTTCAAGGCGATTCATCTTCTTGTGATCTTGCAGACAGGTTGGGTCCGTCCGGCGATGATGAATGGGATGTGGGACATTGAATCTACCAGGGAGGAATGGTACGTGTTAATCACGTGACCCTTTTGTAGATATCCATGCGCCGTCCCGTCCATCCTCTTAACATAGATTTCTCTGTTGGCAGAGAAGGCAAGACATTGATTCTATGGCATTAAAAAAGACAATATCAAACTACAAGAAGCTAGCATGGACACCATTACTATTTCAAGACAAATTAACTCGTCAATGCGCGAGTGCTGTCGTTCCCATGCGAATGGAGACGTCCGACAACCCCATGTGCAGTGCCGCTGTGTTTGGACGGACTTCTTTGCACTGAATTTCCCAATTTGACGTTCGCAAAAGCCGCTTTGAAAGCAGGCCATGAGATTGATATGTAAATTATACTGTTCCAGAACCCTTGCAGCGGAAGGACGAAACTGGACGTATAGTTCATACCAAAGTTGAAGTTGTGCGGATAGATCAGCGCGTACAATCTGTTGATCGTGGAGGGTACCTATGCCAAATATCAATATTAGTCGAGACTGCTGCTCTCACCACTCGTTGGTGATGCTGAACTGACCCATGTGACAAGCAGTGCGATGAAGAAAAGCATCGCATATTTGGTGTATGCCCAAGCGGCCGAGTTCACGTCTCTCGCCGTCGCGCGACGCTGGGCGTATGGATCCTGCTGACTGTTTCTCAAGGTCCGCATTGGCACATTATCGTCGTTGCCAGAGGCACTGCCACCTTCAATGGTCACAGAGTAGGGCGAGTACGGGCTGAGGTATCGATGCGGTATATGGCTGACGCTCGCGATGGTCAATCGATTAGATTCACTTCCGGAATGTGTGATCTCGCTGGTGACATGTATCTCCGTATTTTTGGAAAAAGTGGGCTCCTTAGGGCTGTCAATCTCGCCAAAAGAATCCGAATGCCCAGCCTCCTGGAGTTGCCGTCGTTTTCGGAAAATCACTCTGCCAGCACGCAGATAGATGATAAATGTCAAGAAAATGACGAACCAGACTGGACCATAGAAGACCGCAATGCGAAGAAAATCCCAGGGGAGCGATACCCAGCACCAGAGCTGTTATGCGACAATGACTTAGAGGGTGACTCTCCACAAGACTGATTCTCCTACGACAACGTTGCACTTACTATGGCTGAGCCGTAAACCTTCCCTCGAGCCTCGGTTTCTATGAAGAAATAAACGAACGCCGGGATGAAGGGGAGGCCATAGCAGAATAGCACGTATTTCCACTCCAGTTGTCGCAGCTGTTCTGAGTTATATTTGTGGAAGAAGGTCAAGTAGACATTGCATGCCATGGCAAGAGTCCACAACGCATCAGCGGGCATGAACCTGCGACATGCGAACATCAACCATCAGTATATGAGCTATGAGCACAAGACACTGAGAATTTTGGCTGAGATACTGACCATTGTATTAGAAACGCTTGAAACTGACAAAGGCAGCTGCTTGTCCCATAGGCGATGCCCGACTGAGAAATCATTGTGCCTACATTTGCCATGATATTTCCCCATGACGCATAAAATACGAGGCGATTGATCGGTTTGCGAAAGGAGCTCGATGCGATGAAAGAGACAACTATGATACTTGTTCCAGCGAGAGAGATCGCAGAGCATATGCGTTCTGTCGTCGATATGGCGAATAGTTCTCGCTGTGTGAGCGACATGGCGCCATGAATATGCTGATCAGACTGGCCAGTATCCAAGGATATTCGTCACAGACTTATCCAGGAAAGGAAAAGAGGAAAAAGAAATGTGAGGGGGCAGAGAAGGAAGAAAACATGGAGCAGAGTACAGTAATAGGTACGATCGAGGTCACACCAGTGACTGTAGCACACTCAGGCGCTGAAGGCGAATCGACTCCTTGCGAACCTCATTGCGTGATCTATCAACCGAGCGAGAGCTGCGAGACTCTAAATAGACTTTATCGAATCAATATTTGACAGGTCCCTTCAGAACTCGGCCCTTGTGGTCCGTGGATAATATCCACTGCCCGACAGGGAGTTTCGCCTGCTCACATGCTCTTGCCGGAAGACGAACCATGTTCAATAATAATAACGAATTATGATGGCTACCAATAGCAGAAGGACTTATGCAGAAAAAATCCCGTGGTGGAACAAAGCATGAAACGATTCGGTCTTCTTTTCTTGAGTTGATCAAGCCGACCAACCTTAGATCAGAGATTCGGTTGCTAATCTCATTCTTCTTCCATGTGGCCTGGTGGAGCAGGGCAAATTTGCGGGGATGCTGATCCTGAGTCTGTTCTTCGTATTCTTCTACGAAGTAGATAGATGATTCGATTCATTCAAAACGCTGGCAAACCTAAAACTGGTTCATCACAAGGGAACGATCCTCAATCACCAGGAGTAAGTAGATAAGAATAGAGACTGCTTCCATGGGAGTAAAAAGGGGACGCAGAGCGAAAGACAAAGAAATAAATCCACCCAGGGTTTTATGCATGTCAAGACTCACAAGCTTCTTTCAGAGTAGATAGATGGACACATTCAGGAAGAAGGCTGTGCACATTCATCACCTTCCTTAGAACAAAGGCAAGTATTGATGATCAGTAATACTCCATAAAGGACTGCATTTCTCTCCAGATTTGCCTAACCAGGATCACTGAGCGCTAATGATCATGATAATGGATCAGTCAATGCTTTATGCTAAGGTCAATCGAGCCGACGCCACACCTTTCTAGGTTTCTAGTTGTGGCCCATCCGGCTGAACTTGTGAACAGTGATGTCCCAACCAATTCAGGTTGCTATTCGATTGTGGATGAAATGACCAAATTCTACTAATCATCCATGCAAGGAGTTGTTGAAACTTCGAAGCTAACGAAAACGCCCCGGAACTCTCGTTCTGAATATCACGTTAGTACCAGTATCGACTATTGAAGTATGTATCTACCCAGGTATTCGGTCATAGCGGTCTCTTCCTTCACCTTTCGCCTTGCTCAGATCACGATCAGAGCAAAAATAAGCGTTCCTGTTTACTCGAGCGTCAAAGATACCAGTCAGTACAGTACTTGAAAGATGGTAAAGCTTAGATAGAACACAAAACACTATTCACAATGCCCTACAAGTCTACCTTTGTCTCTTGCAAAAGCCAAACATGCATATCAAAACGTCAAAAGCTGCCAATATTCGCATTGATGTCCTTCTTCGGGTATAACGCCACGCTCCCGCATTTTGAACATAACCATCAACTCATTGTGCCTCTTCGGAAATATGAATTCAGCAGGAGAAAAAGAGGTAAGGGGCGAGAATTCGACGGGTTTCCCCTGACACATTTAGTATGCCTGCTGTGGTGGGACCATCCCTCCGTACCCTCCGGCCATTTGTTGCTGTTGCTGCTGTTGCTGCTGCAACTGAGCCTGTAATTGAGGTAGGTCATGGAACCAAGGATGCTGCAGTGCGTCCGCTGCACTTATGCGCATCTCTGGCCGTAATTGAAGCATCCGATTCAGCAGATCGAGCCCGAGGGGGTCAATCTGAGGCAGAATAAGTCCCAGATCTTGTGTCGCATATACGTGGAAATTTGGTTTGTACTCCGGTAGCTGAGAGATACCGGGCCACGAACGCTCCGAAGGTGTGCCCATCAGACGGAAGATCTTCTGCAATTGGTCCTCGTTGGTCGTCCCGGGGAACAGAGGACGGCCGGTGTACAATTCTGCCATGATACATCCGGCCGACCAGATATCAATGCTTGTGTTATACGTTCTGCTGCCCAGAAGCACGTCCGGAGCACGGTACCACAGTGTCACCACTTCGTTGGAGAAGGTGTTAACAGGGATGCCGAAAGCACGGGCCAGGCCGAAGTCGCCCAACTTGAGCTGACCCTTCTTATTGATGAGGAGATTCTGAGGCTTGAGATCTCGATGGAGAACCCGATTCTCATGACAGAAGGCGATCCCCTTGAGGAGCTGGTGCATGAATGACTTGATCGTGGCATGGTCCAGCTGACCTCGGTCGCCTCGTGTATCCATGTACTTCTTCAGATCCTTATCCATGTACTCGAACACAAGCATCAGCTTGTTCTCCGTATGAATCACATCGTAAAGTGAGACAATGCTCTCGTGCTTCAGTTCCTTCATTAACGAGATCTCTCGAATGGCTGTCGATGGTGTTCCTTCCTCCGAATCAAGGTGAATCTCCTTCAACGCCACCAGCTCGCCGGTCTGGCGGTTGCGTCCTTTAAAAACCTGCAAAGCTTGAAATCAATATCGCTGCGAAGAATTGAATGAGATGCGCAGGCGAGGGAAGCGGAAGGAGGATCGAACGTACGGTGGCATATGTTCCTTCACCCAGCTAGAAGACGAAGCTCAAGTTAGACTCGCCTCCATATACAATATTCCATGCGGCGGTAGAAAGCAGGCTCACACACCTTTTCCAGCTGCTGGAAAGAGCTGGGTTGCTGCGCCTTATCCATCGTCTGAGAAGAGATAGCACCTCTGTGGGTGACGGAGGTCTGTTGGGTCGAGACTTTTGGGCGTTGGGTACTGAAAAGAAAGGATTTGGGAGAGACAAGGGTAGATACGATTTCAGAAAAAGAAGACGGATTGTTGAACTCTGAACGAGAATCCCTTGCGGTTCTGGATGGGGTTCGATAGTCCATGCTCGGAGATGATCTGATCGCAGCTTGTTTGAATCAGCCCCGCGCGGCCTATCTTGGGATGGCAAATCGCGGGCGGTTGCTTATCCACCTGCGCGGCTCTACCTATCAACTAGGTAGGTAGGTATACAGTTCCCGTAACTGACAAATCTTCCATCCATCTATGTAATCGAATCCGAGAGGCTCCCACTATTTTTGTAAACATCTTTGTTTTGACATTCGAAGGTGTCTCGATAGTTCTGGTTCGGTTGTGCTATCCAACAAGAAACTGTTTCTCGGGTACTTAGACAATCCTAGGTGTAAATTATCTATTGTTCTATGCATATTCTGAATATATCCAGTGTACAGCGCATACAGTTCTCGGCTCTATACGTTCATCCGTAATTGAAATCGGGAAGCAGTGACACCACATGAGGAAGAATCGCCTCGGACGGAAAGCTGCAACGGACATGTGAGGATGAGATATCGCCAATCGTACCAAACAGGACCGATTCATTCCTGACGCCTCCCAGATTGATCAAGGCTATAGGCATGCCTCTCTTGTGGGCTCTCTCCACTAATCGCCATGCCGAATACGTAGCAAGACTGCTTCCTAGAATCAGTAGCCTCCCAGCATCATCGATGGCCTCCTCAGCGGCCGATTTCACTTCAGGGCCAATATTTTCACCAAACATGACAACCGCAGGTTTCAGAATGCCAGCTGCAGAAGAAGGGAGCCATGCCCCGTCATTTTCCACTTCTACCCTGGCCGGTGTGCCATCCTTCAGTCTTGGAGGGTTCTCCAAGCAATTAGGACAAGATGGGTACCTAAACGTGGAGTATGGAGCCTCAGCCAAGTCCACATCACCATCTGGGTTTAGCTTAAAACCCTTCCGTCTCTGTTCTTCGGGGTTGTTCGTGTCGAGGGCTCCTGCGTCGACCATCCGGGCAAGAAACTCCGCCCAGGCGGGGTTGAGCCTCTCGAGAGACTTCTGAAACTCAGCGCGTGAGAATTGGGTTCGACAGCTAGTACAGACGACAGACCTCAAGCGGCCATGAAGTTCAACGGTTGGTAGCTCGGGATGCGCAACGGAGTGGAAGGAGTCAACATTCTGTGTCACAACGGAACTGATGAAGCCCTTGGCGCCGAGATCCCGAATGGCTCGGTGCGTCGAGTTGGGTTGAGCTTTCAACAGTCCAGGCCACCCAACAAAGCTTCGAGCCCAGTATCTTTTGCGAGACTCGTGCCGTGAAACAAACTCGTGAAAATATATAGGTCTATAGGTTTTGTTCGTGACGTAGGTGCCGTTTTCTCCTCGATAGTCGGAGAGTCCAGACGCTACCGAAATACCAGCACCAGTCAAGAGAACGGCCTGCGAATGTCGGCCAACATCCACCCCGCGAAGGTATGGGGATGGAGGGGCTGTGAAAAATGATAAGATGGCATTGATCGCTCCTGAAAGTGTGTTCGCAGATGGCGGAACAATAATTGGTGGAGGCAGTGGACCGGTCAACGGTGTACGAATCGAGGGTTTCGTCATTGAAGATGCATTGTCGGCTGGGGGAAGCTACGGAAAACGAAGCGATCGTCTGTGGTTGACCTGAATCCAAGTAGCTCGGTGAAGTCTAGAGAGGTTTACTTTCGCTAGGACTAGATGGATTTATCATGGTAGACCTGGGGATATGATGTAACCAATCACATGACTGATCTCAATATCACATGACGATTTTATCTGGTCTGCATGCTGGTGTCAAACGCT